CCCCATCCCCCCCCTCCATCTGTCTCCTCACCCCCACACACCCTCCATCCATCTCCCCATCCCCCAGCCCCACACACCGGGGGGGTGGAGGTAGGAGCCAGAACTCCCCGGCCCTCATGCCAGGCACAGCAGGGAGCGGTGCAGGTCCCGTGTCTGTGTTTGTGGTTCAGTCACTGGTCCCCGGGGCGACCCCGGCTCATTGCTCGGGAGATGGAGGATCCTGTCGGACAGGAGCCGCAGGGAGGTGTGATGAGCCGGGTCCCTCTCCCTGCTCTCAGAGCCAAGCTAGAACCAGCCCAGCTGATTTCAATTCTCCTTCCGGGTGGGCCGCAACGGGGACCATTCCTGGGCCTGGGTCTGCACATTTAGGGCAAATGTTTCTGACATTCTCAAGTCCATTTGTGTCTTCCCTGGCTTCCTGATCTTGCCTGTGCAGCTAACGCCGGCAGCAACTTCCAAGCATCTCCCAAAAGCTTAACAAGAAACGTGTATTAGGCCAACACCTATTCTGAGCAAAACCAACCTACGGGTGACCCGGGGTTTTACTGGCAGCATTCCACAGCAGGGGATCCTGGGTAATCTGGCATGCTGCTCCCACTTACCACCCCTCCAAGAGGGTACCCCCACCCCAAAAATCCCTGCCACAGCACAATGCCCGGATTTGGTGGCAGCAGTGGGATCCCGCAGTGCCTACTTCAAAAGGCAGGGGGAGCCTGCTTGAGTGGGTGGTATCTCCTCCTGCAAAGACACAGCTGTGACGGCGCGTCGGGGACCCCCGACCCTGCACCCCCGTCCGCCAGCAGACTAGAGAGGGTTTCTTGCTTCTCAGAGACGCAGCCCAGCAAATGCTCCATGTAGGCAGAGCAGGAAACGCCGCCAACCCTAGTCCCCTGGGGGGGGGGGTCACAGGCCCCTGAACCCCCTATACTGGTTTTAGTCGGCTTCCTCCATGCTCAGCCTGCCCCTTCTCCAAACCACCGAACACTCGTCCCCAGGTACCACACCCCTTGGTTTAAACCCCTTCTCCAGGGCAGGGGTGAAGTCGCTAGTCCTGATCTATGTGCACTGGTAGGGCCCCCCCTTCCCGCTGGGCAGTGCTTACAGACCCAGGCCAGTAGGGGTCACTCACAGCACGACCCAGCCACCAGTGAATGCCAACCAGAGCGGGGCCAGGACCCCAAGAGCGTACAGCCCCCCCCCGCGCCCTACGTCACAGGGTGAGGGACGGAGGACGGTGCTGAGGATTGTCACAGGCGGGCTTACAGACACAGGCCAGTAGGGGTCACTCACAGCACGACCCAGCCACCAGTGAACGCCAACCAGAGCGGGGCCAGGACCCCAAGAGCATACAGCCCCCCCCCCACATCACAGCATCCCCCTGCCAGGAAGGGGAGCCCCACAGCAATGGGGCTGGCAGGTAACACCCCGGCAAGGTGCATGGGGCAAGTTCTCCCTCTCTGAGCAATCAGTGCAGACTCTCAGCAGATCCAGGCGGGCAGAACATAAGAGCGGCCGTACTGGGTCAGACCAAAGGTCCATCTCGCCCAGTGGCCTGTCTGTCGACCATGGCCAGGTGCCCCGGAGGGGGTGGACCGAAGACAATGATCAAGCGATTTGTCTCCTGCCATCCCTCTCCCACCTCTGACAAACAGAGGCCAGGGACACCCTCTCTATCCCCTGGCTAATAGCCTTTTATGGACCTAACCTCCAGGAAATTATCTAGCTTCTCTTTAAACTCTGTTATAGTCCTAGCCTTCACAGCCTCCCCTGGCAAGGAGTTCCACAGGTTGACCATGCGCTGTGTGAAGAACTTTCTTTTATTAGTTTTAAACCTGCTCCCCATTCATTTCATTTGGTGTCCTCTAGGTCTTATATTATGGGAACTAATAAATAACTTTTCCTTATTCACCCTCTCCACACCACTCATGATTTTAGAGACCTCTATCCTATCCCCCCTCAGTCTCCTCTTTTCTAAACTGAAAAGTCCCAGACGCGTTAACCTCTCTTCATATGGGACCCATTCCAAACCCCTAATCATTTTAGTTGCCCTTTTCTGAACCCTTTCCAAGGCTAAAATATCTTTTTTGAGATGAGGAGACCACATCTGTACACAGTATTCAAGATGTGGGCGTCCCATGGATTTATATAAAGGCAATAAGATATTCTCCGTCTTATTTTCTATCCCTTTCTTAATAATTCCTAACACCCTATTTGCCTTTTTGACTGCATGCTTGGGGCTGTCCCTGTATTTCAGATAACTATCCACAGGCATGTTGAAATTGCTAATGAAGCAGTGATTTAAATATCCCACGCTTCATTAGCATAAACATGGCCACTGCTTTTTTTTTTTAAATGGAGCTTTTTTGAAAACCCCCCCGGCAGGCTAAACGCGACTGTCGAAAATGAACCCTTTTTCGAAAGATCCCGTATTCCTCAAAAAATGCGGTTTACAGGATCTGTCGGAACAGGGTTTATTTTTCGACAGAGCTGTGTCCAGACTGCCGGGTTTTTTAGTTTAGTCTGGACACAGCCTCTCTGCCCCAGTGGCCGCGGTACGAGCTGCCTCTCTGCCCCCCGCTCCCCAGGCGCCAAGATGAACACAGCTCGGAGATCAGCCATGTTGGCCTCGGAGGTGACCGCCTCGCACGCCGAGCCGGCCCTGAACGCCACCGAGACGCCCAGCAAGGAGAACGTCTTCTCCGACATGAAGGACAAATTCATGAACAAGCTCAGCAAGCTGCCAAGTGAGTGTGTGTGGGGGGGGGCACCTGCCCCTAGTCCCCCCCTCCCCAGAAGCAATCGCATCACTGCACTGGCCAGAGGGGCCCCGTCCCAGGGCTGGGCGCAGGCGCTCCACCCCAGAAGGGCCGCATCTCAGTGCCAGGCCCCTGTGGAACCAGCCCCCTGCCCCACCCCAGAGGGGGCCCTGTCCCAGAGCTGGGTGAAGGGTCTCCACGAAACCGGCCCCTTGCCCCACCCCAGAGGGGCTGCATCTCGGTGCCGGGTCCCTGTGGAACCAGCCCCCTGCCCCACCCCAGAGGGGGCCCTGTCCCAGAGCTGGGTGAAGGGTCTCCACGAAACCGGCCCCTTGCCCCACCCCAGAGGGGCTGCATCTCGGTGCCGGGTCCCTGTGGAACCAGCCCCCTGCCCCACCCCAGAGGGGGCCCTGTCCCAGAGCTGGGTGAAGGGTCTCCACGAAACCGGCCCCTTGCCCCACCCCAGAGGGGCTGCATCTCGGTGCCGGGTCCCTGTGGAACCAGCCCCCTGCCCCACCCCAGAGGGGGCCCTGTCCCAGAGCTGGGTGAAGGGTCTCCACGAAACCGGCCCCTTGCCCCACCCCAGAGGGGCTGCATCTCGGTGCCGGGTCCCTGTGGAACCAGCCCCCTGCCCCACCCCAGAGGGCCCCGTCCCAGGGCTGGGGAAGGGTTTCCATAGAGCTCCTCCCCAGAGGGGCCGCATCTCAGTCCGGCTCTGTCCCCGCCGCAGTCCCGCCCTGGGCCGTGGCCACCATCCTCATCGTGGCAGCGCTTCTGCTGCTCTGCTGCTGCGTCTGCGCCTGCAAGAAATGCGGGAAGAGGAGGAAGGGCAAGAAGGGGAAGGACAAGGCCAAGGCCCAGATCAACCTCAAGGAGGTGAAGGAGCTGGGCCAGAGCTACATCGACAAGGTGAGCGGCTCCCCTCCCGGCCTGGCTGGCTCAGGCAGGGGAATCTCCCCTGGGGGGGCGCCGGCTCCCACCCGGCCCCAGGGCAGGGGAGGGGGAGCTCAGGGCAGTGCTGAGCTGGGTCTGATCTGCTTATCAGCTGAGCCGCCCGGCTGCCTGAGCCCTGGGCCCCGGAGCCAGCAGCCTCCGACCTTGGGGCTGCCTGGGGGGATTCCCGGGGAGGGCAGCTCCGAGGGGCCGGGAGAGAGGGTCTGGAGGGACAGAGATGTAGATGTGACAGACGTCGGTGTGTCCCCGGCGCCCCCTGCTGGTAGGGCCGGGCCCTGCGCCCTGCGTGTCCCCGGCGCCCCCTGCTGGTAGGGCCGGGCCCTGCGCCCTCTGTGTCCCCGGCTC